CTTTTTTTTTTTTAATGTTTATTTCTCTTTGAGAGAGAAAGACAGAGCCTGAGTGGGGAAGGGGCAGAGAGAGAGAGAGAGGGAGGCACAGAATCTGAAACCGGCTCCAGGCTCTGAGCTGTCAGCAGAGAGAGCCTGACGCGGGGCTCGAACTCGGAAACGGCGAGATCGTGACCTGAGCTGAAGTCGGTCGCCCAACCGACTGAGCCACTCAGGTGCCTCCTGGCATATGAATTTGTAAAAGATCCCCGGTAATTCCAATGTGCAGCAAAGGTGGAGGACTGATGACTTGGAAACCCTTTAAGCTGCAGACGGCTTATTATAACATCCATACCTCTGTAAGAGAGATAGGACAGGAATTCACATTCATCTCCTAAGTTGAGATAATGGAGGTCCTAAGACCATGTCAAGGAACGTGACCAAGGTCACAGATTTGTGTCTGATTCCAGGCAAGTGTCTGGAGGCCCTTCAGGCAAGGCTGGCCGAGGCCAGCATATCAGGCAAGATTCTGGAAATGGTAGGACAAGAGATTGGGTTCGGGTGGGAGGAGATGGGCTTGAAAACCCAGTGGACTGAACACAGGCCTTTGTGCCTAGAGGAGAAACAAGAAAAGCACTTCAATGTTATGCCTCCTGCCCCTCCCATCAATGCTGTTTCTGTCTGCAGCCTGCTGGTTTGCATTTCGTTTATAGGGAGACAAAATGGAACCTTTGTGCCAGAGTCGAAGGAGATTGTAAAAGCCCACAGCTTGTCTTCAGACTTAATGTCAACTATGTGTATGTGTCTCTTTTATTTTCAGACAAACAAGTCCTCACCATGAGTTCTGAGGCCGTCTCAAACACTCCCTGCCTTGGGCTTGTAGCATCCTGGTTCTTGCATCAACACTAACAGTTCTGTAGACAAGGGGATAAGTCAAGAAATCTCTTTCCTTGGAGGGGAACAGGCATGGGCCGGGTGATCGCTGGGGCGACACCCTCTACATTACTGGGGACTTGGGATGGGTGACCCACAGTTCTGAGATCCATGGTGGGTCTTAGAAGGAGAGATGAGTTGCTCCAACGTTCTTTTTTTTTTGTCGTTTATTATTACACAAAGCCGTAGGTTAGCGGTCTATGTGAACGAGCTGTTTCTTCTGTGACCTCAGAAAAAAGATACTGTGACTTCTCCTAACAATGTGCTGTCATGGGGATGCCTGGGTGGCTCAGTCGTTTGAGTCCGACTCTTGATTTCGGCTCGGGTCGTGATCTCATGGTTGTGAGATCGAGCGCTGTGTCAGGCTCTGCACGGACAGCAGGGGCCCTGCTTGGGATTCTCTGTCTCTCTCTCTCTTTCTCTTCCCCTCCCCCCACCCCCTCAATAAATAAATAAATAAATGCGTACAGATGCATATACAATTAAATGTCACTTATTCTTAGGTAGTTTTCACTTTTCTTGTTGCTATGGAGAATATAGTTTCATATTTTGAGCTTTATATATGAAGGGAAGCGATTTTTAATTTCTGTAATAAACAATACTTTATTCTCGGGGTTTTTAAAAAGTTGTGTCATCCACAAACGATGATAACTGTCTTTTCTTACAGGTAGGCACGCTTCTAATTTCTTTTTCGGGCGTTAGGCTAACAGCTACCACTTATATTTATTTATTTATTTATTACATTTTTTAAAAATTTGTTTTTGAGAGACAGAGAGAGACAGAACACAAGTCGGGGAGAGGCAGAGAGAGAGAGAGGGAGACGCAAAATCCGAAGCAGGCTCCAGGCTGTCCTCACAGAGCCCGACGCGGGGCTCGAACTCCCGAGCCGTGAGATCATGACCTGAGCCAAAGTCGGACGCTTCACCGACTGAGCCACTCGGGCACCCCAACAGCTACAACTTCTAGAACAATGTTAAACAAAAGCGACAAATGGGACAACACAAGAATGCCCTGTACTGTGAAATGTGGTATTGGCTATTGGGCAGATTTTCAACAATCGTATCGAGAAAACATTGCTCTTGTGGTAAGAGTGTTTTTAAACATCAATAGTGGCTGTTGAAAGGACGTGGCTTTTAAAACACATTAATGGGGGCACCTGGGTGGCTCAGTGGGTTGAGCATCCGACTCTTGATTTTGGTCATGATCTCAGTTTGTGAGACAGCCCTGAGTCGGACTCTGCACTGACCGCAGGGCACCTGCTTGGGATTCTCTCCCTCCCTCTCTCTCTGCCCCTCCTCTGCTCTCTCCCTCTCTCTCAAAATAAGTAAGACAAACTTAAAGAATGTGTTGTCATGAAAGATCGCCACTAAGACAGAACAGTGGGGCCTCTGTAAAGCCTGGATCTGAGCCGATTTGACAGAAAGTAGCTTTTTTTTTTTTTTTT